GGACCAGTGAGGTTTAGGGCTGGAGCCATTCCAGAGTGTCTGCCAAGCCACTTGAGCAAAAGGCTGCAATAATGAAGTGCATGGTGGAGCTGAGGCACAAACCAGCTGACCAATTGACAAATTCCTATTGTGATGGACGTCTGATGGAGCACAGGAGCAAGTGCAGGGCCATTTGTGTGTGTGTTAGAGAGTGTGGGAAACGCCGGACAATGGGAAGATGTGTTTTTAGATATGAGTGAGTGATATGAGTGATTACTGAGAAAGAAATCGTTGTTTTCTGTGTTCTTAAAATTATTAAATGTTGAAGGCATGATAGTATCAGAAAAGGTAAATAACACAGTCAGTAAATGTGTGGTCACAAATTTAGTGTAAAGGTGCATAAATGTGTAATACATGTAATGTATTCTTCTTTAAAAGTAATGCACTATGTTACTAATTTACTCCCCTGGAGAAAGTAACATGTTGCATAATCTTTTCATTACTCTGTAACATGTAATAAAGTGCACTGTCACATAGTAACCAGTTAACAATATAAATCTCAGGCCACCATCGAACACACAAATTCTACTGAGGACACATATGGGAATAAATATAAGCACAAAGCCACCAACACAGAAAAAAACAGAAAGAGACTTTAAAGTGATTGCTACTATGATTCTACAGTAGAAATGTGTATAGTTAAAGTGAGTAGAGTAAAATTATACTTTTATAACATTTTCATGAAAAATATTGCAAAGTGCTTCACAACCAAAGTGCCAAAAAAAATAACCCCAGCTAGACTGCTCATCACTACCTTTCTTGCCCAGGCTGGGGTCTGCACACACTCAGCTTTAACATCCCTCTGGGTTCTTTGCTAGCTGTATGTTAGCATGTTGTAGTGATGGGATTTCTGGCTCTTTTTAGAGAACCGGCTCTTTCGGCTCGGCTCACTAAAAAGAGCCGGCTCTTTTGGCTCTGAACCGGCTCTTCGGGTTGTTTTGTTGCTTTAATTAATTAATTATTAAAAACAATATGAAATTTTGCACAAAAGGAATTACTTATGTAAAAAAAATGTGGTTTTATTTATATATGTTTATATATAAATATATACACTGGCCCCTAGAGACAAAGCACGTACAAACTCCAAAACACATTTCTAGTGTTAACTGAACTTCCAAAACAGAGCTACCTAGATCACTTAAATTACACACTTGAAAGCATTTGTGTATTGTTTGTGTATTTATACACAAGCACTCATATATATTCAAATAATAAAAAAAAAAAAAGTTCATTTACCTGTTACTACCACACACCAAATTCGGTCGTTGGTACTTCCTGGCTTGTGTAGCCACTAGGTAACAAAAGCTCAACACTGCCTTTCGCATCCTGGAGCACTTCTGTTGTGTTTTGTACGTGCTTCGGAGTTTGTACGTGCTTTGTCTCTAGGGTCTAGGGGTCACCGTAAATATACTTTTATTTATTCACTTCACATAAAATGTAATAAATAAATCATATAATACAAAAAACAACTATTTACATTTTAAGCTTTTAACTATTTAAATTTTCAGCTTTTTCCTTTTAAACAAATTTAAAGTGAAACAACACAAAACACTGCAAACCACAACACAATTAAATATAAATTAAAATATGAAAACAAAAAGAACATGCACATTCTCTGTCATATGGGCCTGCATGAATAAACTTTCTGAATCCTTTATCATCCGCAACCGAAAATAGTTGTGGATGATTACTATACCTTTCTAATGTGACATTGTTGTCCCTGGCTCTCTTTCTCTGTCTCTCCCTCCCGCTCTGTTCCTGTGCTACTGCAAGCGTAACTACTTCCCCTCCCCCCTCTTCCCAGCGCAAAGCACAAGGCTCTTATGCGGAGTGAAGCGAAAAAAAGTGCAAGACAGAGGGTGAGAGAAAGGAAAAAAAAAAAAACAACAACCCACGGCTCCCAATAAGGAGCTGGCTCGCATCGTTCACTTCAAAGATTCGGCTCTAAGAGCCATTTCGTTCTCGAACGACACATCACTAGCATATTGCCTGTGCAGATACTTCAAACAGTGGATGTTGTGTTGGCGGTGGAATGCACTTCTGTCCTTGACGCAGTTTGCACGTCACCATTGTAGTCTTGTTTTTGAAAGCAAAAGTAAGGTTTATGTTTTCACTCCTCAAAAGTTCACATCTTCACTCTTCCCTGCACCTGAATTGGTAGCATTATGCAGGGAGACCAAATACCTTGAAATATGAATTAAGTTTAGCAACTCATTGTGGCGATATGCAAATGTGGATTTGCATCGAGGTAAACTAATCTCAGCTGTGATGTTTAGTGTCTACTTAAACTGAGTCTGGAATAGCCACTAGTGACTAGCTCTCACCTACAGAGTCATGGACAACAGACAGATATCCCTTATAAACCGCAAGTCTAACACTGCAAGTACTTGGGTCCCAAACAATAAGCTCTGCGAGTTTAAACACATACACGCAAATGAAAGACAGACATAGAAAGAGCGATTCCTTCATTTATTATAAATAAACCTCCAGTGACTTTGACATCTGCCTTTGTTAATGCTAACATGCCTGTCACAGCAGGCGCTACACTAATGAGCGACAATGTGCAAAGAATGTGTTTTTAATGTTCGCTAAATTCTTTTCTTAATATAATTTAGCAGTAATGTGTATAGTTAAAAATGAGAACTGAATCAACTGTCAGTTGTAATTCTGCACTGGCACTGTCCAGTAACAAGATATATCACAGTTGTCCTCCTCCAAAGTACAAATAGTCCAGAGAAATAAAATAACGTTAAGGCTCTATGTGACAATATATAACAAAATCATATTATGTAGACGTTTTAAACACATTTCCATGTAGCTGTAGTCATGTGTCCACACCCATATCCAGATAAATGATGCTAAACTGTTATGATCTTTCCTGGTGTAATTACATAATCGAGTGTACAATAGACTATAAGCTCTCACACATGCTGCTTATGGATGCATGCAGATGTCTTTGCTTTTGTGAATTTCATATCTGTCTCATTTGGTGTATGACTTTAATTTCCTGTGGATCCGTCTCTCTCTCTCTCCCCTCACTCTGCCTCTCTCCTATCTTGCTGATTTCTGACAGCAGAACATGGCCCACAGTCGCCTCAGCGGGGCCCAATCAATACTAAGTTAATGAGTCACTTTCGAGGTGAAAGAGGATTTGGTGAGCGTGTGGTTAACATTCAGCATGCTTTAACAACACAGTGTACCATTGTGCATTGTAAGATCCAATACAAATTAAGAGAACATTAGGGAAAAGTTATCTGATGTTGTGGGCTTTATTTAGTGGTCCCTAAAGCGTTGAAGTAGCTGAGAGGTCGGCGAGGTCAGTAGGGTGTTAGATAGGATTGTTCCAATGTTATTGATTTTGCTTAGAGGTCCTTATTTGTCAAAGCACTTTAGTCAGACCACAGCTAATGAAAGAAGCTTGTAAGAGATAAAATGATTCACATATTTCTTATGAGGAGAAATATGTGAATCATACCCAAATTACATTGCAGCTTATTTTTTGTTTTAAAGTGAACATATTAGCAAGTCAATCATGTCATTTTACCCAGTTGCTGGTTTCCATACTTCTTGGTCACATTTTCGGACATGTAAAATCAGAAAGGATGGCAGCATTGTGGTAATAGTGAAATAATAAAATGGAAACAAGGAGGTGAGAACAGAGAAGTAGCAAAGTTATTATCTCTTAATTGACAGATTAATATCCAAATTAATATCCAAGTAATCTTGTATGTACAGTGGTTATAGCTGAGTAATATTACACTGAAAGCTGTGTAATGTGCATTACAATTTTAATATTCTGACTGATAAGGTCATGTTATTTTAATCTTTAATATATTAGGATACTATTACCATATTATAATGCTGTAATTAATTATTTATTGTCACCCCAGCATTCTTCTGTGTTTGATAGTCACAATGTATACATTATGTTTAATGTTGTGGCTTATTACCTGCTACCACATATAAGTACATTGAGGTTATAGCAGGTGTCACAAATGTTGCTATCTTTTAACCTGGATAGATCACTGTAGTAACCTATGTTGAATACATAGAGCCCTGTGATGAATCACTTTGTTTACCAGGCCAAATACATTGCTGGCTAATATATCAGTGTCATATATAAGGGTGGAGTGGGGACCCAAATATAGACATGAAAAAATTGAGAGGAAATCCAACTGAGCCTTAATTGACAGTTAAAAAACACAAAAGTCACACAAACACTAAAGTAAACAGGATAATTTGGCAAAGAAAATCAAAGCGCTATCAATGCTATGACTGCTGAGAGACAAATAGGTGTGGAGGTTTGGTGTGAGACTTATTTCTAAGTAATTAACACAGGTAAGAACAATCAGGAAATCAGAAGAAGATAGAGACAGGAAGTAAAAGTAACAGGTAAAAGAAAAATGAATAAAAATTCAACAACCAATAAAATCAAAACTTGCAACAGCACAAATAAAACAAATAAGAATCCTTTACAATGATCAAACTGAAAAACATAAATCCTGAAGGAATAAAACCAGGGACCGTGACACAGATACTGTGTAGAAAGTTGTTTTCTCATGTTTTACATTCATTAATACTGCACCACTACCTCCAACTAAATGTTACTTTTCTTTAAATATGATTTAAGTGTCATTTCTGTAAATGAACCCATCTCATAAATGGAGCCTAACAGGTGTTTGGTTTGTGTATGTGCAGAGCAATACAGATTCATGCCAGTGCTGTCACACTATTTCAGTGATTTTCAGGTGACGATAATTTACCAATGTCATGGTCCGGGTGTGTGCCAGTGTGTCTCCCTCCGAGCCGGCGTCTCCACCCCTGGGAGGGGCCTCAGTGTTTTTGCTGATCGTTGACATCTGTGGGTAATTAGCCGGGGGACTCATAAGGCCAGCGTTCTCAATCTCTCTTCGCCAGATTCTCTGCTAAACATCACTACACCTAACTATTAAACCCTGGCGAAGAGCTTCTACTTGGATGCTGGACCTTCTGGCAGTCCCTCAGGCTACCACCAAAACTACCTACCTGCCTCTCTGCCTCCACGCCAGGAGTTTTTGGATTTACACACCCGGATTACTCCCCCTCTATGTCATCTCCGACCTCCGTTGGCAAGTACACAGTACGAAGGAGGATTTTGAGCCAAACAACATATTCATATGCCTCCTTATCTATGTTTTGAACATTTGCATTCTGTTACAGTGACCCCGACCTTTTCCTGGACCTTTTGTGACTTGCTTTCCAGTCCAATCCCCGGACCCGGACCAGATCATTATTTAGTTAACGTCTACGCTCACCTTTTGTTTATGAATATTTTGTGTGCACATTAAACATTATTCTTAAAATATATTTTCGAGCTGTTCGGCGTCTTGCGTTTGAGTCCTGTCACTCGTCTGAAACGGTCCCGGCCGTAACAACCAAGATATGCACCAACATACACAAGAGCGCTTGCTTGTAAATATGGATGTAAATATTGCTGGATCACTCATGCTTACCAAAAGTCAGTTTTGCAAATGATTTATGAGAAAGGAAAAATGTTATTCATGCTTGTCACCATTTAAAGACTCACAACACTGTATTCTGACTTTTTGTCCCATAACCCCTGACTGGAATTATTGTTTGGGTATCACATGCTGCAAATTTATCACATCAAGGATTAAAGCACATCAGGTCTTTGTCTGTTTTACTTGTAATGTTCAGATAAAAGAAAAGTGATTAAGTCTAGCGATAAACTAAAGCTGGATTCTGATTTTCACGAAAATCTGTTGCAAACTGAAAGAAAAAGCCATGAAAATCAGTAAAAAGAAGACGCTTATTCTGCAATGAAATCTTTCACTTACGCCCCACTGCCACTGGGGGCCACCACACGGTGAAGCTGGATGTTTTGCTCATGCAGCACACAGTCTGTTTGAGTGTGAAACACAGACACAAACACAGCCGCTTGTATTGTATCTGTGTTTACCTTTATCTATTTGCATTTGCATCACTGGGAGATGACTTTGTTATGTTAGAAGCTACAATATAATTCCAAACAATGGCTTCACAAATATCACATAGCACCATAAATGTGTCATGTTAAGAGTCTTTTTTCATTTTTAATATTGAATTTCTGATTATACACACTAGGTTTTCTGTGATGGGAAGGAATATCTGTGGAACAGAGTTCTAGTAATGCTGCAGCCGTCCCGTAAACAGCAGCTGAACTGATTTCTCTTTGTAAAGTTTGACTCCTGACAAGTGAACTGGACCAAAGCCCGAGGTTCACTAAGGGGCATTTGTTTAAATAAGACTGTGACACAGCTCAGTGGATACTTAGATAATGATCTGGGCTTCAGCCAAATTCACTTGCCGCAGAATTAACTGGGTCTGTATAGATGAAACAAGGTGAGTGTACGGACTTTCCTAGGTAATTCATCCTGATGTTTGCAGATTGGCTTTCTGAAAGGAAAGCACACACTGTGTTATCAGAAAACATGTACTGAAAGCAAATACATCTTCAAATAAATACATCATTGTCTCTCATTAAGGAAAACTGATAACATTTCAAGACAAATAATTGACACATAAAAACAATAGAGGCCTGATGAGTGACATATAAAAATGTCCACCAAAGACTTTTCAGAAGTCACTGCTGAGTAATAACTTTCTCATAAGTGACCAGCGCTGCCATTTATCCTGAGAGCAAAAATTAACTTTCATTTTTAAGTATCAGCTTTTATTAGGTAGCTTGTGTGTCTTCAGAGAGCTAAAGTGACTCTTGGACCCTCTCGTACGCGTCATGAATTAGAAGAAGCCCTCTTATAGCCTACTGCATGCCAGAGATAGAAGTTATACAGGAGAGGTCTGACGTGCAGACTTGGGAAAACAAGCTGTCTTAAGATCTTTCAGTCACCATAAAAGTGGAGCATCTGCTTAATGGACCATATGTGGTACTCTTTCATCAGTGGTAGGTCTATTTCTATTAAGTCTCAGGTCCTATTAGGTCTCAAGCTAAAACAGGAAAACATGGGAAATATATAAATAATACAGAGGACCTCATAAATAATAAAGACTTTCCGTTCATCTGCTTTGACTCAGCCATGAAAAGGACAGCTTCATATACCTTAAAGCCAAGCAGACTCTATGTATTAAGTCCAACTTCAACCCAAATGGGTTGCCCAAGTCCCACGACCCCTAAGGATCATAAATCAAGAATGTACTAAGGTGTGTCAGTGACAAGTCAGTATTATATGAATCAGGATTGGCTGAGACAGGGAAAATGCTCAGCTCAAGGTCACTACCGATGACACTAATTAAACAAAGCAGGTTTTGATTTGATTTGATTTTGATTTGATATACTTTTATTAGTCCCACCGTATGTCCAGAATTTTCAATCCACCTGAAACAGGGAGTCTTCTGCCTAAATGAGCTGTCATAAAAGGTTGCCAGGATATTTTTGAAATCACTTGAATTACCATAAACATCTTGCACTGATCTCAGATAATTACTGCTATCAATAACTCAGCCTCATGCTAACTTGCCTCATTTCTTGTGACTCTGCACTGTTAAGCAGTCAACAATCTGCCAGTCACAGCATGGACATACGGAGAGACTTAATTACACTGCTCGAAGCTGCTGTCAGAGTAGCATGGTTAAATTAGATGAGTTCCAGTGAATTTAAGGTATCAAACATGAGGTGAATATTATAATTTAAAATAAAAGGCATCCTTTCTCCTTTATAATGCAAATCAATCTGTTGATGTGTGTATTTAGAATTTCTGTGAGGCTGAGTGAAACTCAGTGCTCACTGGCTCTATGTTTCAACTACTAATGTTGCAGTCCTGGAATTCATGTTTAAATTATTTTTTCTGCTCCCCCCCCTCATCTTCAGGAATTTGCTCTGATGTCATGTGAGGATAAAGGTTTTTATAATTAGACATGTGGTTTGGTTACTCATAAAGGTGTCATTGACATGTCCAGTGTTTATTGGTTTCATTATGAACCTGTAGCAACATTTTAGCTGTTAGCATCTTGGTGTTTACCTGACGTAAACATGTGATGAGTGGACCCACCCAACAGTTTGTAAAAAACTGTAAAAACTGTAAAGAACATTAAAATCTTTTTGATTAGAATATTAAATTAGAGTCAGTTACTTGCACTCCTGAACAGAAAAAAAAAGTTTCACTGGTTGAATGTTATGTTTGATTAATTTCTGACTTTTCAGTTCAGTGTGCCAGCTCTAAAATATTTCTAATATAGTGGTCTAACAAAATAAAATAATTTTCTGTAGTGTCTGTGGTATTTATTGAGCTTGTAGCAATTAGTCAGCATACCAGGAAGGAAACATGTGGAGTTTTATGTAAAACTCCAACAGCCTGAATCTTTAAAACAAATTCAGTTTTCATTGTTTAATCCACACAAACACCAAGATGTCAAAACATTACACTGTATTTAGGAGACTGCATTTCTTGGTGCATTAACTCTGAGGTTTGTGGTAGATGTTTGGCAACCTCACAATCAGCTTTTGATGGCTTATATTTAACAGCATAATCAAAACAGTAAAGTTGGTTTTCTGTTTGTTTACAGCAGCGTTAATAACAAACTATGATGAGATGTGTGTTCAGCTCCTATTGTCTAAAATTGCACGTACAATAAACTTGTTCACTATAGAAGGCCAATGTGAAGAGTCTGCTATTTTCTATTTCTGTGTAAAATGATGGAATTAAACTAATATTTAAAAAAAACATTCTCACATCCTAAACATATGTATTATTTTAATTAAAAGTCCTGTGGTCATTGTTTTTTATGAGGTTTTGCCATAAAAAAAGTGAACTTCACACAAAGGAAACGCAGACGCTGTCCTTGAGACAAGAGACACTCCCTCCAGACACACATGAACACACAAACAGTTACTGCCTGCCAAAAAAAAAAAAAGAAAACCATAAAAAAATCTGTACAATGGGGCTTGAGTCTACATTATCTACATGATTTATGAAGTTATTCCAGTTAGACAAAGATTACAGTGTGACCCAGTTTTTTGTTGTTAAATGTACGGTCTGGCTTCAGTTAAGCTGTCAACAGTCTTTTGCCATGAAAATTTAAATTGTCACCTACAGTCAGCAACACTATAAAGAAACAGTGTTTTTTTTAAGTGATAATATTATCTAGATAGGTGTGTTTGAGAAAAATTACAGTACAATTACCCCGTGTTTTCCAAATATTTCTTTTCAAAACAATCTAATTTTTGCTTTTTTTTTAGCACATGGATTCAAATGACAAATAATACGATCAAAGTCATTATTATACATGTTTTTTTTTCATCTGTGACACATATCACAGTCATTTTAATACTTCAAAAGATAAATCTCCCATAATGCCCAAACCTTCAGAACAGAGCAGGTTATTCTAACGTGTAACTGCCACTGTCTACTCATGCAAAGCTACTCCACTGAAAAAAAATGGTGAAGGTCATAAGAGAAGTAATGGGTTCCTGTCGGCTAGTGGAACTTCAGAAAAACAAAACTTGTGGTATGACGAATTGAAAATATTAAGAATATAGTGCTGTATGTCAGGGTTACTCATGGATCAGGAAATTATGAGTGCATATGGTGGAATGAAGGTTGGATGCCGTGGTGGGGAGAAACTCGAAGGGCATTAAAATGACTTTTTCCACAGTTTAGAAATGAAAGCATTCTACTTATGTAAGAGACTTGAAGTTTCTGTATTTGACATAAAATTGTAAAAAAAAAGACTATGGGGATTTATTTTGACCCTTGACCACAAGATGTAATAATTATAGCACATTAAAAAACAAAACAAAACTTAGGTTGCAAAGCTTTGTGTGGTGCTTTTCAGCATGCTAACAAAAATTCCTGCAACAGGACGAGTGAAGATGTCCATAAGTTGTGTTTGCCATACTTTGGCATCTAGCTAGTGCTAAAGAGGAGCGAGAACAACATAAAGGGAGTAATGTTTTTTAATTAGCAGGTAAATTCAAATGCTACATTTCTATCAGTTCGACAAACATTAGCAAACACATAAATTGTTTGTGTGCAGTTTTTTGCACATTGTGTTGCTAGCTAAAGGTCCAGCTGTGATATTTCACATAGAGAGAAAAGAAATAGTGCTAACTTAACCCAGGAATGAAGAAAGATAAGAAAGACAGGACAGGAGAGAAAGAAGAGAGGTTAGATTAAAGGTAAAGACTGCTCAGTGGTATTTAATAAACTGGAAGCTTATATGTTTTTAAATCAGAGTTGGGTTACATCAAATACAGCATAGATGAACCTAAAGTTTAGCCGGTCATAGTTTGATTCATTAACTGAATTCCACCTTTACACCAACTGTATGGTGTCTAATGTAAAGACGGC